TGAGCGCCACCAGTAATGGGTTGCGTGAGCACCTGTGAAGCCGGCGTGATGATGTGTTTTGCTCTTTTTGGGTCTGATCTCAATTATTTCCAGGACTCTCGAATTTTGCAGTGTATGCCATACATTGTGACATGCAGGCCCGGAGGTGGTCAGTGGTTCAATTCTTGAACGTCATCCTGCACTTTTTTAGATGGTGGCTCATGTCCCATGCAGGATTTGATGGGGCTTACCGTTCATAGATAGACAGAGGCCATTTTACTCTTTTGAACACCGCTTTATAGTCAAGAGCCCCTATCGTTATGGCGATTCAGGAGCATCCTTCCGTACACCGACTTCACAAAGCAACATGCACCAGTCAGTCGACTGTCATTCAGCCACCTAGGGCTGATCAGATGTCTGACTCTCATCGTCAGACTCAGCACCCAGCATCCTGCTGGCAGCATGACATCCATACATTCACATAGGACCTTGGAAACACTCACAAGATCATCCTGCCAAAAAAATTGAACCACCTGTCCTCCTTTGAGTAAATTTTTGACTGTACGTTCTTCTGTGCATGCCCTTTTTTCTAAACATATCTACTGCAGAAGGCCCATCACTCTGCGGAAATCTATAAGCTCAAGCAGACGGCTGGAATGATGTGTAACCTTCTTCTTCTTCTTGCCAGGAAGAGCGGCTGGATGTGCTGGGGAAGCTGGAGCAGCTGCCGCTGAAGGTGCGGACGGAGGAGCAGGAGGGGTTACTACAGGGGCTGACTAACGCTGAGCTGGCAATGTGGCTGGACCTGCGCCCCTACATGCAGCGGACACCCTTTGTGGTGCAAGGGAACGCCAGCCTGGCCCGTGCCTACCGCCTGTTCAGGACCATGGGCCTGCACCACCTCTTTGTGGCCACGCCAAAGCCCCAAGTAATCGGCGTCATCACCCGAAAGGTGCGCCCCCGGGCCGTCCCTGCATCCTTATCATACCTTGCCTGACTAGCTACTGATGGTTTGCATGCACCTCGAAGTGCGCCGCAGCAAATGTCTGCCTCTGACAATGGAGCTTTCCTAAAGCTTTGCACTTCTTAAGAAAGGGAAGAATAATCTAGTCTGTGCATGTTGATACAACGCCTGCTTGCACCATTGTGAAAGGCATTGTGAAAGGTGCACTGTTTTGCAGGACATACCAGCGAAATGCTGAGATTGCACAATGCCCCTGTTGCTGGTGCACAGTTTAAGTAGAGTTGTGAAGAATTTGCCCGTTCGGCGCACAGGATGTGACGGAGGAGAATGCAGAGCTGCTGCTCGGCTCGAAGGCCAACCGAGGGCTGTTGCCCAAGGCGCTGCCGCGGCTGCGGCGCTCGCACTCCTCTCTGCCGAGCATCCCGTACTACGACGGCCAGATTCCAAATTCAAATTTAAATGCGGCCGACATGACCGGCTACGGGGACGCGCTCGCGCTGCAGCCGGTGTCCGAGTCTGAAGATGCAGCCGCCGAAGAGGGCGAGCACGTGCGCCTCACATCCCATGTATTGTAGGGTTCAGGGGTACGAAGCTCACGTTTCAGGGTTCAAGGGCATGCATGTGAACCTCGTATGTCCCTTCTCAGCATCTCACTTTCTTCAGTCCTTCTCGCTGCAAAGGTTGATTGATGGTGCACATGGCACATGCTGACAATTACTGACCAGGAGTCCAGAGTTTATGAGCACAATAATTGATGTGGGCTGTGGTTGATCAACCTCACATGGCAGCAACTTGGCCGACACAAAGTTGCAGAAGAGTCTCTTCTGTCGTGTCTTTTCTTTGAGCTGTGAGTGATGCAATGCCGCAGGTGAGCCTCATCGGGAAACGAAGCTTGCGGATGCCTCGGGTGTGATGCTGCTGCATAAGGCACCATGTAATCTTACGTGGGCCTCGATATCACTCTTATGATCTGGAATACATCGAGGTAGAAAGTGATCAGACAAATGGAGTTGTCCCAGGCATGCCTGCGACAAAATTGCTGCACTGACCAAGTTTTTTGAACACAATGGCTCAACGCTGCAGATGTGGACCAGTACATGCGACTTGAACTCAGTCCTAGTTTCGAAACTAGGTGTGATGGAAGCAATCTATGGGATGCCTGGGCTTCTCAGGCATCAGGTGCCTTTTCTGCAACTCTAGGCCAAATATAGTACTCGTGCCTGGTACCAGTACCCGTATATTATCCGGTCACGGTCCTGTTCCATCTCCTCGGCAATTAACCACCTTGATTTATTTTGGTCACAAATTTCTTGCTGTGGGGCGACTTTCCCAAATTCTTCGATCAAGTACTCTTTGTAGGAATAATGGCACTCCTCCAGATTGGCTAGACTAGATGTAATCGCTTCTTCTTCCCGAGCCAGTTGGCCCTTCAAGAGAATTTCATGTCAGCGAGAATCTCTTTGTCACTGATGAGTCATATCTCTCCTGCATTTCAAGTCCAGATTTGCTGACGCAACCTGCGAAACAGACTGCATCTGACCACGTCAAGGACAAGCATGGAAAGGCCTTTGGAACAAAAATCGGATTGTCTCCATGTACACAAATTCAAGTGAATTAGCTGATGTACCTCATCTGACTTTAGCATTGCCAAGGCTGGAAGTGATGGGGCCCTTGCTGGTCATGAAGGGAATGTCCTTGTAGACGGCCACGCCCTCTGCAAACAAGGAAGCAAGACATTTTTTCATCGCTTTTATTGCATGTTGTCCACCTCCCTGACGACCACACAGCTGCGCAACACCTCTCCGGATCTTCCCCTTGCTTCACACTCTTCTCGAAAGGCGCTTGACTGTTCCAAACGCGCATAAATGCCATGATGCTGACCTCAAGCTCACGTATCTCGAGGGGGCGATATAACTCCAAGGGAACGAATCTGATGGGAAAGGGACACCCTATCCCATGAAGTATGCTTCAGTACTTGCCATGCAGGGAAGAGCATATTGCTGTACATAAAGCGTGCAGTGCATAGCAACATGATGCACAGTTGATGGGCGCATGCCGTGAGGGTTCTTCAATGTGCACCTGCATTTGTGGTCAGGTCTGGGGCGATCTTCTCCCACAGCTTCTTCTTAGGGTTGAGCACTGGCTCGGGGGCCCCCTCAAATCCCTCGAATGACACCCTCTCGCCAATTTCCACCCCCTCCGGCACCAGAACAGGTTCCACCTTGTCATGGGCCTCATTTGATGCGCACAACACCTACACATGCACCCAACATCACATCAAAACAAACCAGAAGTACAGAAGAGCTTACTTTCTATGGAAATACAGTGCCGTTGGAGTGTCTTGCCATGAGATTATTAAGATGGTTGGATCTAAATGCCTGCTTCAGCCTGCACTCATGCAGATGCAATTTCTTGCAGGGACTGAGTGCCGGGGTGCGCCTCAGATATTCTCAAACTTTTCTTGCGATCATGACAGGGCAGAACCCTCACGCAAACAAACAGAATCATCACTGGCGTCCCCATTTAAAAACAAGATCAAACATCATCATTGCAGACTAGCGACGTCCCAGGAAGATGAGCTCACCATGCCTGATGACAAGATGCCTCTGAGCTTTGCTGGCTTCAGGTTTGCAAGCACGAGCACCCGCCTGTTCAGCATTTCCTCCTCTGGAACAAATGCCACCAGGCCTGACACGATCTGCACAAATGCAACATGCGGTTGACGTCTTTATTTTGAATGTCTGAGGTTGGAAATAACATCAGAGAGAGGGCACACTTGCTTGAAGGGAGACCAAGTTGCCGTCTCATCACACTAGTAATTGTCAACGCGCTACTTGACAGAGGATTGTGTGGCGTACAGCAAAGTGCATGCAAAGCATGCACTCATAGACCTGTAGCATGTGTGTGGTTTTCCTGTGATTAAATGCCTGATTGATCCCAGCGGACTCGCACCTGTCGGGGCTGCTCCTCGCCAATATCTATCTCCTCGACATATAAGCTGTCTGCATCCGGGTGCCGACCGACTTTGACAATTTGTCCCACCCGGATGTCCAGCATGTCCACGGTGGCAATGATCTCCTTCTTGGGCGTATTGGCCTGTCCCTTCTCCTTCTTCTTTGGCTCTTCCGCTGCATCCTGACAGAAGAAGAAGCGCTTACATCTATCCCAGCCATCTAGGGCTGATCAGATGTCCTATCATCCCCCAACAGCATGACAGCACGCATGGTGGTCAGGGATCTATGGTGGCCCCTAGGCATGGGGTGCCTGCTGATTAGTGTATGCATCAGGACAGGCTCAGATCTACACATCTTCTATGACAATTGGCTGTGATAGGTTGGTGGTCAGTGGAGGAGAATTTTAGAAGCATTTTAGAAGTGGCAGAACTGTGCACCTGGGCTGGTGTTCCAGCTGCAGCCTCGGAGGAGACAGCTGTTTCAGCAGCAGAAGTGCTGGCCGATGCAGCCCGGAATACGGATGGGCTACAACTCCTGGAAGCTGACAGTACTTCTTGTCCCTGATGCCCGACATGAATCTGCGGCATCCTCAGTTGTAATCTACAGCTGTGATCCGCTTTTTCCACTCTACAGGGCGATGCTCCTGAGAAAGACGTGGAAAAAAACAAGCAAACAATCTTGAACGCAGTGTCATGAGCGAAAAAACCGGGAGTGCTTGCCTTCCTGGTGAGACCGCTCCATGGAAGTGGTGTGAGAGGTCTCTGGAAACCCAGTGTAGTGCGATGCAACTTACTACAACAGCTTAAGAGTCTGTGACATCGTGCTGAGGTTATGACGGTATGCATCTGACTTGCTCTATTAAAAATAACAGCTAGAAGCACAGTGTGAAGCGAGCACCTCAGTAGACGCTTGCCAACCAAAAAGGACAATTGGCAGCAATTAAGATCGCGTATTCAAGGTAAATCAATTATTCTCTGCTAGTGTTCTCAACGTTCCTTGCGTTTGTGCTCTTACCATGCAGGAAGAGATAAGGCGCAGGGCGCGTTTGTGCTGATCATATATGTATGCTAAGAAATGACCGGATGTCATAAGAGATTACATCTGTCGATTTGGCCGAGTGGTCTAAGGCGCCAGCTTAAGGCGCTGGTCCGAGAGGGCGTGGGTTCGAACCCCACAGTCGACACGAACAACCGTTTCCTTTTGGAATTTCGTGGGGTGTAGATTCTCGACCTCCTATACCACATCAACTCAAGGCTTATGGGGCTGTGCTGCTATCGACCTCAATGAGGACCAGCTAGCATTGGGCCAATTGGCCACGTGCACAGTGCTGGACTGCGCAGCATGCTGGCATTGCAATTGCTATATATACAGGTATAAAGCTGCATAAATGCTTGGCAACGATGCAGATAAGTTATCCTTCTGGCCACCTGACATGCAGAGAATGCGTCATGCAGCTGCTTGCCATTTCAAAAAAAATAGTCTTGGACTTACAACAGAACATATGAAGAGCTGCACCATCACAACCTCCGAGGCTGGACCTGCACCTAGACCACCGACAACACATTTCCTGGGAATGACGCAGCGCATTCTGATACATGACTTTTGACACTTGTGCCGCACAGACAACATGTGAGCTGCTGGGCAAATGCCCAAGCTCTACACCGAGTGACTTGCAAACAGCAACACCATCCCTCATGCTGCAACTTGGATAAGGACATGCCAGTCACAACTGTTGCCCCACATCCGGTGATCCTGCAACTGCTGCAGGCTAGACAGGGTCCGCATGTCCATCACCCCTGGGACCTTGGATTGGGCATGGCATTGCTCGCCAAGGAAGTGTGGAACATGTGCCACGTGCGCTATTCTTCAGTCCTTCACCGGAGCTGGGCAAAGTACTCTGCAGTCACATATGTGGCCAGCACCGTCTCGCCAGCAAACAGCCGCCCATGGATCGCCGCCTTGGCAGCAATGCAGCCTGCCACGTTGGCGAACTCCGCAAACGCCTGCACCAACGTGTTGCAGTAGACTTTAGGGCTGGCCTTCCCCAATCACCTCTCCATATGCACGAGAGACTCGCCCCTCTGTCACTGACAGCAATTGCTTCCCAACTTTCAAGAGGGCTGCAAGAATGCTCATTGGGCAGGAATATTTTAAATGAATTTGCACAGATGGCACCGGACAACTATGCAGCAATTGCGTGACTTAGCACTTGTTCTGCTTGCTCTGATAGTCTCCAAAGAGGAAGATGGGGGGATGACAACGGCCAGTCACCTTGCCGTAGTTGTTGGAGCCGAAGAGCTCGTTGGAGGAGGCTGGGTTGGGAGGCCGCGGCACCAGCACGCGCAGCACCTGCCCATACTTGCTGCATTCTTCCTGCAGGTCCTGGATCACCTGCTCACAATAACCAACCCCCGCTGACCGAATCCCGGCTATCATAAGCTCTCAAACAACGCCTCTACATACTGCTTCTTATCAAGCAGACCCTCAAAAATCTTCTGCGCAATTTTCCAAGACTCCCTGAAAATTTCAAAAGCTTATGGTGGTGCATACGCACTTCAGCAATCCAGGTTGAGGCAGCTAATTAACAATGTGTGTGCCGACATGTGAGGAAGCACTTGCCAGGAGGGCTGTCTCACCTCAGCGTACTCCTCATCATCCGCAAGCACATCTGGCGTAACCATGCCAGTCACTTGCAGGTATTGCGTCGGGGCGCTCGGCTCCACTGAAGCCGCCATGTTCACCGGTGCCTGCTTTGGCACAAGCACTCAGTCGCCCTTGCAGCTCCTAGCAGATCTCTTCTCACTGGCACTTGCATGTTGCAGCTTCCAAGGCAGAAGGAGCGCTTGGAGCTGATCCTCAACAACGCCATGCTTTCCCAACACTGTTTCTCTGCTGATCAATGCCTGTTTTCAATTTCCGAGCCTCCGCGACCTCAAATTTCTCATCAATGCATGGCACGTGCAGATCGGTTGGAAAGGCGCCCGATGTGTGCCCAATTATTCTTGAGACAACGACCGTAATATGAACAGCGTTTTCGCCTCATTGGACCCAATGAATAAGGACATGCGAAGTGAATCAATTGTACGAAGGCTGGCTGACGGCAAATCAACTCCAATCAACTCCGGGTTGCAGTCAGAGGGAACACGCCTGCGCAATTGCCGGGGGTGGTGGCAGAGGAAGCCTCGAGGCCGCGGGGCTTGCGGCCGCCGCCCCGAGAGCCGGGCTGGCCGCCGCTGGCGCGTTCAAGCCTGGCACAGACAGGTTTGCCTGCTGCAGCTGGTACTCCATGGCCTGCATGTCTCCGGCCTGCAACATCGCATAACACACGCTCCCTCATGCTGATGCCGGGCACAAATTGACGGGAACATCATTGTGCAGAATGCTGTGTCAAGCAGTCGAGCTGCTCTCCCAAACCCCGGCACATGCCCTCCACTAACATGGAGACAAAAGCGTTTTTGAGCAAGAGACACTGAATGAGGATGCTGTCTGCTGGCAGGAAGTGAGGACCAGGCAAGGCATGCTCCGGCAAGAATGCAGCAAATGCAGGATAAGTTCAGTCGCGAACAGAACGAAAAGGGATGGCGGCACACACCTGGAAGGCCGACAGAGCTGCCGCAGCCGCAGATGCTGCCAGCTGTGCGCGAGAGGGGTCCACATAACCGGATGGGCGCCCGACTGAGATCGACTGCCCAAGCAGCTGCACCTGATTGCTCAGCTGGAGCGCTGCGCTGGCCATCTCTGGTGTGCGCAGCTCCACGAAGGCGTAGCGCCCCTCGCTGTGCATGGACACGCTGACGACTGCCTCCAACCCCTGAGCGCTCAGGTTCGGGAACGCCGCCGCCATTGTGCTGTTGAAGAGCTGTCGCAGTGCATCATCCGTCACCAGGCCCGCCACCAAATTGCCAACGTAGACCTGCACCAGAACAAACAATCTCAGAGTAGCTCCAAAAGTTTCTGGGGGCAGCAGGAACCCCGGCAGTCGCTTGTGTCTGTCAGGATATGCTGGCTCTTGATTTCTGCAATGTGGCAGCACTCTAATGCATGCAGGTGCTAGGAGACCTCTTCACTGGTATTGGAGGGTATAATGCACTCGCAGGAGTGCCGTGCCGATCAAAAATCACAATGCTAAGGCATTTGCCGCGGCGGGTACTCTTGCTGCAAAGCCCCACACTTGCTGCTTTGCTGGGCAGTGTTGTTGTGTTTGGAAAGGGAGCGAATGCCTGTGGGGTCTTGGGCCTGCTGCAACCAGAATGCTGCTGCATACAGAGGGTGATGGCCAAGACAGCCAAGCTTTTCTTAGGCCCTGCAAACAATGAAACAGGACACCTGCACATTGCAAGGGGCATGATCGCCTCAGCCTCACCCAGTGTTTGCCAGAGGCCAGCTGTCACTCACAACCAATACCATTCGCAGCCTACATTTTCTTGCAAAAGCACCTCTGCCAATCCTACGCTCACCCATGACCCACAAACCTTGAACCTCACAATAGCATATGTGGGACCCGAGGCGCTGCACCCAGAACATGCCTGCTTCTGGTCCGGTACCCGCCACACTAAGAAGCTTGAGAGATGGGAAGGCATGACCCATACCTCACGCTGCGTTTTACTGGCCGCGGCCACTGCAGAGGCAGCCTGCTGCTGGAGAACTAGCTGCCGCGCCTTCAACTGCTGCTCCTGCATCTGCCTGGCAACTGCAGCCCACAGAAACTGTATGATATCACCTAATATGAGAAATATGTAGCGCACATACGCACATGCAAGGCCGACCACAACATTGCATCCGTGATGTTGATGCGAATGAGAAAACCATTGTGGAAAATATGCTGTGCGGACATAAAGCATGCAGGAGGGATCACTTACTCTCGGCTGGATCAGTGGACGTGATGGTGTTGCTGCGCAGAGCAGCGTATGGGTCAACATAGCTGGTGCTGTAGCCAGCTGCGCAGCACAAGAGCTATCTCACCAGTATTTCACCATCTTTAGTCTCAAATGCCACAGGTGCATGTATTTAGAAAAGCAAGACACCCACGACATGCATCTGATAGGACAGGCAGACAAGCTTCCAGCACCTTGCTGAGGAGCCTCTTGCCGCTTGCGAGGCACATAGCCATATAGATCATCATCGGAGCTTGAGTCAGAATACTTGCTGCGCCTGCCCCTACGGTCTCGAGACTTCGATCTACGCCGAGACCTCTTGTCCCTGATCCACCAAGGACACACGGCTTAGTCCAGCAACACCCTTTAAGTGCAGATTGTTCCAAACGCAATGGAAGTTAGAGAACCCCTGTGCAGCTCTCTATATAATTCATAAAGGCCTGCAGCAACGCGCAGCTGCAAAGTAAAGGCATACCTTGATCTGCTCCTGCGACGCTCCCGGGACTTTGACCTGTGCCGTGATGACTTCCTGTCACTGTGGCTCCTCTTGGACTTCTCCCTGTCTTTGTCCTTGTCCTTATCCCGTGCTGGTGATCTCTCACGCCGTTTCCTGCTGGAGTCCCTGTCCCTGTCATCTGAGCGCTTGCGATCCTTTCCATCGTCCTTCTCACGTCTGGTTTCCTTCTTGTCGCTGTCTCTATGCCTGTCCTTCCTTTCCCTATCTCGATCCCTGTGCCTGTCCTTTTCTCTGTGTTTGTCCTTTTCTCTATCCTTCTTCTCCCTATCATGCTTGCCCACGTCCTTTTCCCCTTCTTTTTCGACGACGTTCTCCTTCTTTCCACCTCCATTTGCCTTCTTGTCTCCCTGCTGCGTATCCTCACCGTTAACAGCTTCAGCTGATCCTCCGTTTTCGACACCACTTTCCCCATTGCCGCCGTTTGGGACAACTGTAGAAGGTATAGACGATGTGAAATTTTCGGTTCCCTCATGTTCAGCCACTGACTCTTGGACTACAGCAACTTGTGCCTGCTTCCCATCATCGGCGGTTTCCTTCATAATTGAGGGCTTTTCATCAGCCGCATTCTCAACATGCAAGGGCGGATCAACATCGCCTGTCATGGCTCTGCAATGTGCAGAATGTGTTCTGCTCTGCCTGCCTCCCCACATCGAAACAGCAGCAGGAAACAGAGCCTATATAGGAGCCAATCGCAGAGGTCACGCAAACGAAGTGCGTCTGCTCCATGCTAGCATGCTTCACGTCTCCTATGTACAATTCTAGCAACCCGCACAGCATGTTGAAGGAGCAGTC